CTCTGAGCAACTCCTTTTATGCCACCTCATCACCGACCCTCCCGAGTGACACAGTGATTGTTCACATGCATTAATAATAACTCATGTCAAGTAAAAAACAATAACTTTATTAAACAAAGCTCTCTGAAGGACTATCTATTAATAACTTAATATTAGGATCTGGTCCAGGATCTTTGTTGGAATTCTTGAAAGTCCAAGCTTTATTCAAAGTCCAAGCCAAAGGCTTTGAATTAAGGTCCAAGATCCAAGGAACTTGTTGTGAACATGGTGTTATGAGTTTATGTCTTTTCAAGGTACCCATAAGGACTTGAACGGAGGTGCGAAGGGCTCCAATTTCTTGATGAATGGTATTCTCTTGAAGTTGGGGCAAGGTTATTTTTCTGGCATTGACTTGGAGGAGAGAGGTTATTCTGGCTTTATAATCTCTTAAGGACTCTTGATAGTAATATTGAAGGTGACGCAACTGGGACCGCTGTTCTCTATAGGCTTCTTGAAGCTTGGAAAGCTCTTCACGAAGTTGAACCAACTGCTCTTCATATCTGGGACACTGGCAACCAACCAATGTACGACCAAGGAACTTGATTTTTTCTTGGATTATTATTATACAATCCACAGTAGGATCTGGATATTCTGCAGCACGAGCAAGGCAATTGATTCTAGGCATTTTTGAGGGCAAAAGGAATTTTGAGCAGTTGGATGAAAGTAATACGCTCAAAACTTGGGATCTTAAATAATTGATAAGTCTGTGGAAAAATTCTCACATCCATAAGAAATTTTTCAAATTTAAGGGAAAATATTAACAATTGAAACGTGAATAATACATGACAGCAATGAAAGTTAATATACAACAATAATACAGCATACTAAATTTGGGACAACAATAGTTTAAAGGAAATGATAGTTATGATTAATTTGATAAAGAGGTACATATCTGGAGCCAATCAAAAGACACTCTTACTGATGATTAATGACTGGATTAAGGTTGGGAAATTCTAAAAATAGGATTGTATTTACAAAAGGAATATCCACACCAAACAAGCTTACTCAGGAGTCTGTTACAGGTATCTTAACTGGTCGCTCAAAGTTGGACATTGTACAACAGACTTGAGGAACTCAAGGCAGTAATTTCACACTGTAAGGATCGGTTAATCTCAGATTATGTAAATTGGAAAAGAATATTCAGTAGGTTATCAATTAGAGATATAAATCTTGAATTATTCACGTATTGGATGCAAAAACACTTTTCTTTTGTTTGGAGAATAGTAGAAGAAAGGTTCTTCTACACACATACACATTTACACACACATTTTACACACACAACACACCGGAATTGCAATTTGAACAATAAAATTGATGAAAGAAAAATGGATGAATGGCAAAATTACGATGCAATGATCATTATAATATGGTATATAAGGATATATAACCTAGAATTTCATCTTAATAACAACAATGGCGCACTTACACCGCGAAGTCTAACCAGTCAATTGAAACTTGCACAGACAATAGTATACATATTGGAGTTTAAATTGTTTGATGCATATATATAGAACACTAAAATAGACTCGAAATTCTATACTGAATTGCCAGATGGCACCAGCAACATCACGAAAGAGACAAAGCGATGGCGCAAGACACCACACCAGAAATGACCAAAGCAACTAAAAGATATAAGACCTAATAACCAGGAAAGAAAGAACAAGGTATTTATAGGCAGTGGCGACAATGGACCCAACGTTAATGCAGGGGTGTCACGCGATCGCCAAGAGGAAACAAAAATCGACGATCTAAGAGGAAACAGCATTCAATTAACACTACCGTTTCCCAAGAAAGAAGTCGGGAGAGGTATTAGCAATGAGACCCCACCACAAAGAAGACAAGAATAAGAGAGGAGAAACATACCAGTGAGCCACCGGACCAGCAAGTCATGCTGAAATTCCGCACAACTATGACAGAATTCAACATCGTGACGAAGACGAGATGAATGGCAAAGCTGGGGGAAGAAAAAGAAGAGTGAACACAAGAACGAGTGAAAAAGAGTCAAGATGATGACATCAGAGAAGAAGATCACGAACCTACAGACCTGAAAAAAGAAGAATACCACCACGACGAAGACCGAAATGGCAAGGAACCGCAACAAGAGACCGTGACAACGACACCACTACAATGAAAGGACCCATGAAGAACAAGACAACAACACCAATAACCAAGAAGAAGGAAGACCATACTTACCACAACCACCACCTTAAATAACACTGACGATGAAGACGACGAATGCCACAAATCATGGAGACCACCGACGAAGAAACGCTAAATTCGACGAACCACAGAATGACAGAGAAGAAACCTATGGAAAACAAGAGACAAAAGTACCGGAGAATAACACCAGCAACCACACCAGACCATACTTACTACGATATAACGATACCGGTGATGGGGACAACAATCGCGACGACAAACTACCAAGAGAACATCGAATCGTTGCATTGCGGAAGCTATGAAGACGAATGATAAGAGTAGAGAAAAGAAAGAACATGGAGAAAAAAAAAAGGGGGAAGGAACAGAGATAATGGATATATCCACAACCATCCAAAACGACGGATGCCACGAAACCTATCGCGATAATGAGGAACACTACCATGATGATAACGAACGCCACCACCACATCATGACGGATGGATAGGTAACTTCAAGACCAACAGTGACGACCTACAAAATAGAAAAAAGAAAATTAGAATATGGATCAAACAGTGATCCATATTTATACATATATTTTTTTTTATATACCCGCCTATATCGATGTTATGACGATCAAGATCATCGGACATGATTCAAAAAAAAAAAAGGAGAATAGAACATCACCGTCGTTCGATCAAGTGTGCAGTCAAAAGAGTATTAAGTACAACAAGACCACAACAAATTATGACGTAATTGGATATTAGAGAAAAGAACCGTTGTTATTACCATTATCATTAGAATCATGAATCTATAGAAGAATCTTATCTCCATCATAGTCTTAACAAGTGAACCAACCAAAAGAAAGAAGTAATAATGACACTATCAAGACACTACAACATTGTAAACTTGTTCTACCATGAAATTATAAGGTTTAGGATAATGATTGGATCCGAAACAATCAAAATTTTATTCCATTATAGAGGAAACTTAAGTCTATAAGGAGTAGCTAACCTTATACCTTGAGTAGAATCTGTGAATAGCGACATAATGAGCATAATAAAGTGACTGTGAGCACACACAAATGTTAAGTTTAGTAACACAGAACTTGTGTATGTTAGGTGTATTGATGAATTATTAGAAACTGACAATTAAATCAGAAACTTGATTACATCACAACCACCATCCCAAGACTTTTGTAACTATCCTTTGGCATTGAGGGTTCAAATTAGAGGATTAAGGTATACACAATGAGGAACAATTAA